CATGTCAAACTAATGCTTCTTAACTTTATTTTAGCTTTATAAATATATTTCAGCTTCTAAATTTCCCACCCTTACACTGCTGTATAGACAATCAGCTATTATGCAAAGATTTCACACTGGACTCATGTCAACAGCCCATTTCTGTTCACCCATCTCATTAAGACAAATATCCCAGCTGTTTCGGCCCACTCTATATCATTGCACATTAGCATCTTGGAGTTTGAAACCTAGAGGCAGCTTCTTCAGAACACTGAATCCCAGTGGCTTGAAAAAGTTTTGCTTGCAAAAGAGTTGCTCATGTGTCAAAGGTGCCAATTAGACTGAAAACAGCAATGTCATTTGTGATGCAGGCAGTTGTGTGCTAAGACGACTGGACTAGGGTTGCCACTTGTGGTAGGCTACTAGAGTTGTGATACCTGGCCATAATTTCAAGTTATTGCTGGGCAGAGGTGGTTGAATATTGTGACACAAGCCTGATGTAACATGACGTTTATAATTACATGTGTGTCGCATGTGCTTCTGTTTAGTACTTCTTCAGTCACTTGAGACTGAAAGTCTATGGTTGGTATTAGAAGTTTTACTTGGATATGGATCCCCGGCTCCAAAGCTTTCTAAGTCTGCAGAGTGAAAGATGATTCAACAACGACCTGCAGTAAGAGATGTTTTGTACAACTTCACAGCTGTCCGTGGACAGCTTCCCATGGATCATCTTTATCAACCTGTAGATCAGTACCAAAAACATTTACCATTCCACAAAATATGTTTACTGGTCTGCCCAGCACCAGCCTGTCATAGGATGGCCCAAACGTTGAGTCTGGTAAGCAGCAGCAATAGTCTTACAGTGCAATCCTAAGCAGAGTTACACTCTTCACAGTGCATTGAAGTCAATAGGAGTCAAATGGTGTAAATCTGCTTAGGGTTGCAGAGTTAGGCAACCTGTGGTATGTAGAAAAGGTTCAACAAGCCATACCAATATGTCACTAGGCACCTAGCAAGATACCAGGATAGGAAAAATTAATTAGAAGTTTACAGATTTTCTTTAAAAATAATTATTTCAAATTATTACTTTAAAAGATCATTGGAAAAAAATATTGCTGAGAAGTAACCTAGTAGATCAGACCACTGGTTCATCTAGCCAAGCCTTCTGTTTCATACAGTGGCCATTGCCTAGTAGGACCTCTCTATCTGCCTAAAGTACATTGGGTGCCTTTGAGTTCTAGTAGTATGGGAGAAGGATAAAAAGTCCTCTCTAGCTACTTTCTCTACCTTGTGCATAATTTTATTAATAGGGATGGGCATGAACCGGCTCACAAACGATAGTTTGTGATAAATTTTGTCTGGTTTGTGCTTTGCAAAGTCAAGTTGGGGACAGGTCAACCAGCACAAACTTTCTACAAACTTTGAAGCTGTTTGTGAAGGTTCATTGCAGTTCATGAATTGATACATTTCCAGACAAACTGTCTCCACTCAATCAAGATGTTTACCAAACTTCAAAGCAAACTACAAAGCAAAGGGAGGGGGTAGAAGTTTCCTTGTAAGTTTAGTGTCACTGGCTTGTTCCTGAGCCCTTCTATAGACTCCTGTAACTGCAGCAATGCAAGCAAAAGAGGTCTAATGTCAAACCACAGAATCCCGGTAGTATAAACTAAAGGGGGAAACATTTTTTCAATCCCAGTACAACCAGTTCAGTATATAGAATCCCCAGAAGAGTCCAGCACTGCTGTGACGATGCAAGCTTAAAAGGACTGATTGATCGCAAAGCACAGTGACACAGAAGATCCAAGTGGGGGATTTTTCAAACTCTGGCCAAGAATATGGGAACACAAAAGAACCCTGGCAAAGGGGGGGGAGACCCTCTTGAAACTAACAAGAGTAATTTGAAATTGACAAAAGCAGCAGAAAAACTGGAGATGGGGGGGAGGGAGAACCTCCTGAACCTGCACCTGTCATTTCCCAGAAAGCATGTTCTTGGGGGTACCTTCCTGGGGGGGGGGGAATAACTTGGATCCCATAAATTCAATCCTCACTCAACTTGGCAGGCAGGTAAAGAAGAGTCATCCGGAGAGCCCCTATGACTTTGGTGTCTCTAGCAGGTGGGAGTGCCTTCTAGCAGGTTACAAATCTTATGAAATGAACCAGTTCATTTGATGCCTAAAAGTTCATGACAGTCCGTGGTTCAAAAATCACGGCACTCAATGAAATTGCTGAGTGGTCGGGTTAGAACGGATAAAAGGAAGTACTTCTTCAGCCAAAGAGTGATTAACACATGGAATTCACTGCCACAGGAAGTGGTGACAGCTACAAGCATTTGTTGTTGTTCTGTCGCACAGTCGAGTCCGACTCTTCACGACCCCATGGACCAGATCACGCCAGGCCTTCTGGTCTTCCGCCGCCCTCTGAAGTTTGCTCAACTTCATGTTCGTTGCATCTATTACACTGTCTAACCATCTCATCCTTTGCCGTCCCCGTCTTCTTTGACCTTCAATCTTTCCCAGCATCAGGGTCTTCTCCAGTGAGTGCTCCCTTCTCATTTGGTAGCCAAAGTATTTGAGCTGGCTACAAGCATGGACGGCTTCAAAAGGGAATTATATAAGCATATGGGGCAGAGGTCCATCAGTAGCTATTAGCCACAAGTTATAGATAGGGGCTCTGGGGCAAGTGATGCTCTGTCTTCTTGGTGCTGGGGGGGGTCAACAGTGGGAGGGTTTCTAATGTCCTGGCCCCACTGGTGGACCTCCTGATGGCACTGGTATTTCTGGCCACTGTGTGACACAGAGTTTTGGACTGGATGGGCCTTTGGCCTGATCCAACATTGACGTCTCTTATGTTCTTATGTTCTTAACTGAACCACATTTCCCCAGTGCATGCCTATCCCTATTTATAAATCTCCACCATGCACTGACCTCCCCACTTTGAGGTATCTTCTCTTTAAACTGAAAAGCTACACACTCTTTAACCTTTTCTCATTGGAAAGGTGATTTAAACCTTTACTCATTTTGTTTGAACTTTTCCCAACTCTGCAGTGTCTCTTTTGATATATGGTCCAGAATTTTATACAGTATTCCAAATGGGGGTGCACCATAAAGCTACACAAGGGCAATACAATATTGGCAGCTTTATTTTCAGTCTCTTTCGTTATAATCCCCAGCAAGGAGTTAACTTTTTCACCTGTGGTGCACACTGAGTCAGCATTGTTATTGAACTGTCTGCTACAGCTCCAAGATCTCCTTCCCTCTCCATTTTGTCCAGCTCTCATCAGCATATATTTAAAGTTAATGATTTTTGCACCACTATTCATCAACTTGCAGTCACCTAGACTGAACTTCATTTGTTGTTCAGGAAGAAAGTTCTTCCTGGAACTCTCCACAATCAGCTTTGGTTTTTCACTCCTCCAGTACAAAGGCCAGTGTTAATGACACGTAACCTGGCTAGAAGATCAACAGTTTCATGTATGAGTTCTTTACAAACCTTTGGGGTAAGCCATCCAGACCTGAAATCTTATCAGTTTTTAATTTTCTCAGTAGTTCCAGAACGCTGTTTCTTGTTGCATCAGTATTTGTCAGTTCTTCAGACACCCTGCCCAAACATTGTGGCTCCAGTGTCGGTACACATCCCACATTTTCTATGGCAAAAACAGATTAAAAGGATTAATTCAATTTCTCTGATGTCTTCACATTTCCTTAACTGATCCTTTCACTCCTTTATCATCCCACAGCCAACCATATCCCTGCCTGGTTTTTGGATAGAGTTGAAAGAATGCTTATTGTTTGTCTTCATATTTTTAGCAATGTACTCATTATTTATTTTTTTATTTGCCTTCTTGTCAGCTGATTTTTTGGCCAAAACAAGTGTTCTCTCTGTTTACCTTGTTCAGGCAAGGTAAATAGTCCCCTTGTTTTTGTAAAGTTCCTTCTTCTGCATCAAATGTGATTGTGTTGTTTGGGGCAACTTTTCATGGACCGAAATGCTGAAATGGAATACAGTTTACTGAATGCTGCCATGTTAGAGTGAATGTGCATTGCAGCAGAGCAATGCTTTGAGGGTTAGTTTCTGGATGCTGATTTTTAATGCTGGATGCATGTGCAGCCTCCATAGCACAGTTCTTTGCTAAACGTAGTGCTAGACTATGGAGGTTTTCATGGATCATTATGTCACTTCTCAAACTTGCTTTGTTCCAAGGTTTGGACAAGATCACAATAAAGCTTGGATAACTGCTATATGGGCCGAAAAATGGAGGTGTTCTGGCCCACGTGGCAGCCATTTTCCCTGCCCTTGTGGCAGCCATTTCCCACCACCCCTGGGGAACTTTTTTTTTTAAAATCGGCACTAGAATATTGTTATATTGCTATACTGTTGCAATTATAGGTATTTTATAAAATTATAAGAAAACCTAGAGATTTAACAGGAGGAAAGCCCTCATGGCGTATGGGAGGGGAAGTGAGCCTTTCTGGGGAACTGAGGCAGGGGAGCTATGGAGAACCCTGCCATGTAGAAGCCCTGTTGCTGCTGTGTTTTATTTGTAGCTGTACCAGCAGTGCAGAAACCATACTTTGTGAGGCAGGTAATCTGCAAATGTAGGGGAATTTGCATAATGTGGTTAAAAATGCTCTCCTACCCCCAGCCATCCAATTATTTTAAAATTGGTCCACAGTTTATTCATAAGTGTTCTGTCCTCTGGTTTTCTACAACTTGGCTGCGGTCACACAAACTAAATAATCCACTTCCAATCCACTTTCAGTGCACTTTCCAACTGGATTTTACTGTGTGAATTGGCAAAAGCCAGTTGGAAAGTGGATTGAAAGTGGATTGAAAGTAGATTATTTAGTGTGTGTGACCATAGCCCTTTGCATATAGAAAGATTCTAAATGCTTTATTTTTGGTATAAAAGTACCTAATATGATTAAAATATAACCAAATATGGCTTTTTCTCATCTTCTCTCTGTGCTTTGATGAAGAATGAACACCTGACTGTTTTCTTTCCTTCTCTCATGGTATTCCAGCATGCCCAGCAGGGATGTTCAAGGCAAACCAAGGTGCAGGTATCTGCACTGAGTGTCCCTCCAACAGTCGTTCCACATCAGAAGCTGCTCCCATCTGCACTTGCCGCAATGGATATTACCGTGCTGACGCAGATCCACCAGAGATTGCATGCACCAGTGAGTAAACAACATTTACTGCTAAAAATGTTCATGCCTCAAACCTCTATTCTGAGAATCTCTACAGTGAAAGGACTCTAAATAGTGTTTGGTTTTACTTCAATGGATCCATTACTCTTCCTGTTAATTGGTTTTAGTAGATGACATTCAGAATTATCTGCTGTCCCTACATGATATGGCATAATCCCCTGTGACATGGTCACTTTTTGTTGTCATGGAGATTCCCAGGCATTCTTAATCCTTTGTCTCCAGATCAACATAAAAATGGCATTTACAGTAAGTATAGTTAAACCTGAACAAAGGATGTGAAAATGCAGGGCTCCCTTGTGAGAGATCATCCTGTCCTTATTTAGTTGTTCAAGTTTCATCTTTACCATGATGATAGTCAGAGATATGGCAACTGAGTCTATTTCTGACCATGGTTTTGATTGCAATGATGACATGTTGTGCTGGTGAGGTGACCCCAGAACAGCTTTCAGCCCATTTGTAGCCATGTGTTCCTATGAACTCTTTTTCATGCGGACCCACGAGATATGACCACCATCTGTATAAAAATGATGTGACAGTGATCATCATAACAGAAAATCTCTTTGTGTTATGTGTTTAAGCCCTTGGATCTTGAGGCTATGCCTTCAAGATTCTCATAGCTGCAGCTTACCAAAAATATGAGGTGGGCTGAGAGCTAGGAAATGCATTGCCTCCCAGATCATGTTCAAGTTGACTGTGGGGAGTAGTGGCTGTATATGGATAAATCCTGCCTTAGGAAAGGATTGAGTGACCTTCTATACCTTTTCAGCCTTATGAGTCTATGGGGTAATGATGGACTCTCAACTTATCTAGTCTCTGTATTTTATGATTACCTAAGAAGTTGTGCTCAATGTTTTATTTCTAGCACGACCTTTTGGAGCTTAATTTGGAAGAAAATGGAGGAAGTTTTTTAGCAGTACTTGGTTTAGTTCTGCTGAGTAACGTTTTGCAAAATTGTATTATTCCTGTCGGGAGGCTACTGGAAGAGCAATCCTGAGCAGGTTTCCTCAGAATCCTACTTGGGTCTGCTCAATGGAGATTACTCCCAGGAAGTGTCCTTAGGCTTGCACTGTGGGTCTCTGTGCAGCTCAAAGGATAGAGGCTGATTTTTATTGCAGCTTGCCTCTCTAGAGTCCCACATCAGCATACTCCCTTCTGCAGTGATGCTTCTGTAGGTAGCAATACACATATGGTTATGTGAGACATCTAATGTGTGTCTGGAATAGAGATTAATTTCCATATTCTGCCTGATCACTGATAGCGGGAAGTGCAGTAGTAAATAAATCTGTTTTTATTGCCTCTTGTTATATCTCTGATTTACAGTATGTCTCACTAGAGGAGTACTGTATAAAAAAAGTCCATTTGTTGATTTTTTATTTCTTCTCGTTAAAGCTTAATTTTAAAATGTTCTAATTTGAGGTGCCAGCTGTTCAATTTCCAAGTAGTTACGTGTCATAGGAGTAAATAAATTTAGTTTTGTGTATCTGTGGGTGCTGCTGTTCTCTAGTGTAATAAAAACATGTCTTTGCCTTTTCAGGGTATTCCCTGGTAGGTAGAGCTTTGCAGTTGAGTGTGAATGGCATTTCCATAGCCGGCTCAATGTGCACAGTTTTCTTTTCGCTTTCATGAATTTCATAGGCCAGCTACTGAAAAGTAGGGCAGTAGCAGCATCTCATTAGGGACCATTTTGCGTGAATTTGATGTGACTTTAGTGGATTTGCACATAGTGAGCTAGTCATGTGGATAACTCAACACTTATCTAGATAACTGACACAGCATGAAAAAAATCTCTTAAAAGGGGAGTTAACCATGGATGCATAAAACCTATTTATAAGACCAGTTAAACATATGCACATCCATTTTAAAAAATACCCTGACTTCTTTTGACTTCCATATGCTAAAAAGAGAATCAGATGGAAATTTGACTGCATGAATCCCAACTAAGCCATTTAAGGGTACTCTGCCTTGGGATGCTGTACATTTTTCTAAGCTATATAGTAATTGCTGCCCAGTCATCTGTTCTTATTGATCTGATCAGGAAAACCGCATTCCAACAGGTCACAACATAGGGGCAAACTTAACAGGCAGTCAAATCTCTCTCTCTCTCTCTCTCTCTCTCTCTCTCTCTCTCTCTCTCTCTCTCTCGATCCTGTTTTTGATCTCACCAGACTGCTGTGATCTGCTAGATGCTGTTCTGGTTTTGCCTTGACACTGGGCTATGACAGTGCCTGCATAGCTAATTGTAGAGAGGGAATCTTGTCTCTAAATGTGAAGGCTGGAGATCAGCTACTGCTCAAATCAAGAGAAGGAAGGGCTACAAGGAGGAACAGGAGCAATGTAGGTGAGGTGACAGTGAAGAAAGTAAGTAGGAAGAAGTACCAAGGGGCCGTGAGGAGAGCCACTTCCAAGGAGATTGCTCCAGAGACTGACAGAGGTCTGCAAGAACGGGCAGTTTTAAAATAAAGGTGTGGGATGAAATAATAAGGGGTTGTTGAGTGCAGTTAGTAAAGAGGTGGAAAAGAGGGCACTCCACATGGCAGCTGCAGGACCGTGTCTATGTTTGTCATGTAGCAGTCTTGCACAGTTCCCCAAATGTGGAAACCTCTGGTGGGAGAAGAAGGATTAATCTCTTAAACTATTAGAATTTTCCACTGCAGGAATGGTTGAGTCGGGCAGATTCACTACATTTGGACCTTTTAAAGTGACTCTCATTAGAATGCAAATGTGAGATACGTTGAAACGTAGACCCTGAGTTAATATTGTATTGAGCATTCATTTACTGTGCAAAAGCAACAGTACCAAATATACCCTTGCAGGAGTAGTCGTGAAATGGCAGGTTGTGTACTGCACAACACCTTAGTGGTTCATACGCATGCATCTAAATGGCAAGTTGGGTAAACTTCTTTCTCAGTGGTTTAACTTCTAGGAAACCCTGAAGAGGCAGCTAAATCCTCAGGAATGACAGCTCTAGCTACTTACACTAATGACATTTTAGCAAGGCATTTCCTGAAAAGCAAAAATAGGGACAAACAGGAACAGTGGTTTACCAGTGATGGGGACCAGAAAATAGGGACTGTCCCTGGTAAATAGGGACAGATGGCACATCTGGCATATGGAGCAATGGAAAACCCACATTTGTGATCATTCCATGTTATGAACTACGTGCAGGTCTCATACAGTTCCTGTTCCATGCAGGAACTTTTTAATGTATGAAGTGTTCCAACCCTGTCCTATTATTAGGATGAACAAAATGATTTGTTGTAGTCACTACCTTGTATTTTTACGGCTTTCATTTCTCTCTCTCTCTTTTTAAAGATGTTTAGCAGAAAGACAAACAGGGTCCCAAGATTTAAAGCCTGCCATTAATGCTTTTTTACAAGACGCTGGGGATTGTATGCTATACCTTCTGATCTGAAAGCCCATTCTCCTTCTCCTAAATGTGTGTGTCTTTGTTGTGTGCCTTGGGTTCTGGCTGTTTCATGACATAGGAAAAAGTGCATCATGGGATGCAACTATTTATTTAAAATATTTGTATCCTATGATCTCATCAAAAATACTTCTAAGGTGGCAACTTGCTCTTTAAGGATATGGTCTTGGCGTTGAAAGCCCATTCCAACACCATGACCCTACTTGGGCTTAAATATCCTAAATATATCCTTGTTAGGAGGGGTTCAGTGATATTGAGGGATGACTCATCTGCCCCTAGCTGTGCTTTAGCATAGTGCTTACACATGCTGAACAATATTATACCAGTAAATCAAGAGTGAACAACAAATGGGGGGAAGGGTAAATTGCTGAAAAATCCCACTGGAAAAACATCATGTCTGTTGTCTCTTTGTTGTGGTTCCAAGTGTGACTGCAGCAGCTCTATATAAGACAGGTAGTAGAAATGCTGCTATAAATCACTTCCTCGCCACCATACTCTTATTATAATTCTGATTTTGAAGTTTGCTTTGAGATGGTTTAATGTGTGGTTGTTCCATGTAAGAGAGAAGGATTTAAAAAACAGAATGAGTTCCTTCTCCCTCACCCTTCATTGCCAGTCATGGTATCCAGTCCTGTATCTCTTTGAAGTTATGGACATCTCTCCTTATATATAATTGAATAGTGGGTGCCAAAGTTCTAAAATGCACTCCTTTAGTGTATGGACGCTTGAACTGTCAGTCAGAAGACGCCGGCTGGGTTGACTGGCTGCTTTGTGCAGTCCCGCCCAGTGTTTCAAGGTCTTTTGCATATGTAAGCTGATTGGACTTCACTGCATTCCACACCTCAAACTCACCCTCCTCCCCGCAAGGCAGTTGGAATGTCAGTTGCAAATGGAACCTTCAAGGTCTTTTGCATATGGAAGCTGATTGGACTTCACTCCATTCCACAACTCATACTCCCCCCCCGCAAGGCAGTTGGAATGTCTGGTGGTGTGTAGGTCCCAGGATCATGTTTTAAAAGCTGCCTGGGGAGATGGGGACCTCAGACAGGTTACAGTGCCATAGACTCCACCCTCCAACCCAGCTATTTGCTCCTGGGGAACTATTGTTGCCAATCTTGGCCCAGCACCCATCAAACCATTCTCTTCAACCCCCTGCTGTGCAGCACACTTTCCCCTAGGGTTGCCAAACTCCAGGTGGGACCTGGAGATCTCCCACTGCTACAATTGATTTCCAGATGACAGAGATCAGTTTCCCCTGGAGAAAATGGCTGCTTTGGAGGGTAGACCCTATGACATTATACCTGCTGAGTCCTTCCGCCCCCCCACCCCGCCCAATGCTGCCCACTACAGAATCCACCCCCCAAAACTCCAGGTATTTCCCTCCTTAGAGCTGGCAACCCTACATTCCCATCAATGCCTGTTGGTAGGCAACTAAGCTTGGTCCTGTCACCTACTTTGGCCTTTGGGAGAAAACACATTGGGGCCAGTCCTGATAGGGTTGCCAACTCCAGATGGGAAATTCCTGGAGATTTGAGGGATGGAGCCT